GAGAGAGAGAGAGAGAGAGTTATCCACGCCGGGCGTTCGATTCCGTACTGCTGGTGGAAACTGGTTTTACGTCCTACATGGAGAAGCCTGTATATAAAGCCCTTGGCAGCCTGGGAAGGAAACCCCTGGATTTGAAGAGACGCTGAAGTCGACATACACACTCATCACCTGATCATCCACCACACTTTAAGATAGGCAGGGGCGTGCATGCAAAAGCATTTTGGTGGGTGGTCGGGGACATCCCCGAAAAAAACACAGCATTTTATCCATAATGCACATATTGATTTCGCTCCTCATATCAAATATTCCATTAAAAAATCGAACTAACTAAAATATATGCAGCTCATGTTTATAATCATTCGGTTTTCATTTGAATCACATGAACTAAGACACAAAAACCAAGACCGAGGAAATGTGGAAATGTTCTCTGATTTCCATCCCTCCGTCATTTACCGCTTATTTGACTGTTCAGTCAGAATGAATAAAGCCATGTCCGGATAATCTGTACAAACCTGTATGATTTTGGCATGGTGGTGAGCACGTAAATTCCTTTTACATAAAGGAATCGTGTAAAGATTTGCAGCTTTGGCTAACTTATATGATCTGCGCTTCAGAAATTGAATGTGCTTTGCTTTGCGACTATTACTCATAAACGGACTTCAACTGCAGAACCTCCATCTAGTGAATTTGCCATAGTAGCCCCGCTTTAATACCCGAATCACATGGATTTCAAAAGTGTAGTCTTCGCGCCCCCTGGTGCGGTCATATAGGTACAGCAGGCGGGCTGTAAAATAACTGTGTTAATATAGCTCTAAAAATATAAATGAAACTGAATTTCCCCAAATCCACATTAAGCGGGAAGTGTTCAGTTTAGCTCTCACTTTACAAATATTGAAACACTAGATTCACAAAACGAATTCGTTTTTTGTATTTTATAAATCAAGTCGTAGAATACAGTTCTTAGTCAATATGGTACAATAGAACAGTTTCCGCCACCTCATTGCGTCGCCCGTGGTCACATGGCGTTGGTCACCTGACTGTGTGGAGAGCCAAACAACTAAAGATGGCGGCTCACCTCTCATACGGAAGAGTGAATTTAAACATTTTAAGAGAAGCAGTACGAAGAGAACTACGTGAGTTTTTGGACAAATGCGCTGGAACCAAGGTAACGACAATGCTATAGGGAAAACAGCTCAGGCTAACTGATACAGTCCATGCTCCTCCATGACGGGCTCGTCAGCGTCAGCAGCTTGGAGTGATAAAATTGTTAAAATTCATCTGCAAACGACAAATTGGGGACCAGCAACGCTTGAAAGGTTGCCATAAACCATGGCTTTGGCTTCAACGTATTAACATGTCACGTCGCCTCACTGTAAAGGTTATTCGTTTTGAGTTGCGCATCTTTTACAGCCTTTACGAGACGGACGATGCTCAGCCAATGAAATTAGTAAGACAGAGGTGGCTTGGCTAAGGGCGGAAGTAGCCACGGGCTGCAAATAACTGCCTCACTTTACGAAAGCAGGCGATAACTTGGTGGATTTTAAAGTTAGAGACAATAACCAATAGTGTAGTGTTTTATTGTTTCCTGTTTTAAGTTTTTGTTAGACTTGGATAACGGGAAAAGTTGCACAGCACATAAATAAACAACATTAAAATCATTCAGTCACTCTATTGGCATTTAAATAATACTCACGTGAGACATATTTGATTTATACATGCCGGTTGGTTAAGTAGATGCTACGACATAAATTTATAAATCAAAATACATATATTCATATGAAAATCTTAGTGGTTGTGGTATAATTTTTTTGTCCAGTTAAGAAAACTAATTAATATACACAAGGGTCACATCTTGCTTTGTTATTGTTTCTCATAGGCCATTGTCTGGGATGAATATCTGACTGGACCGTTTGGACTCATTGCTCAGTATTCATTACTGAAGGTCTGTATATTATTTTTATTGCTGATGAATAAAGAGCAGTGCATTTCAGATGTTGCATGCAATACATGTATGCTATAGTCTTGCATTTTAACTCAGCTTAAACATATCACTAACTGGTTTTTTTATACCTTTTTACATTTAAAAAATCCTATATGTTTTTTTTTTCAGGTTAAACCTTTACCATATGTTTTAGAATTTAGTTATTTTTGGCTTATAGTTATTCCTGGTATCTTGTTAGAGATGCTTACATTCTTTAGTTGCACTGCACTGCTGGGTTTTGCCATGATAATAAAAGATAATCTGTCCTGTATTTACTGTACATACTCAGCACACCGTTGATTAAAAAATGTTACATATACATATTCTCATATTACATTGACTAATTTTACACTGACACAATACAAATGGTCGAGGTCATGGAAAGACTATGGTGTGCTGTTTTTATGGTTTTTTTTTTTTGTAGGAACATGAAGTGGAAAAGATGTTCACACTCAAAAGTGGCAGACTCCCTGCTGCTGATGTCAAAAACATCATCTTCTTTGTCCGTCCCAAACTGGAGCTTATGGACATCATTGCTGAGAATGTGTTCAGGTGTGTAGCCAGTACTTGCTTCTCACATCACCTCTTTAAATCTGCAGCATGTATGCAGAACAGATGACTCATTCTGAACAGTTTCATTGGGAAACACTGCACAAGACACAAATTAAGAAATTAATTTTAAGCTTCTGTAATACAGAAAATCTACTGCTGACGTATACAGAGTCTGGTGTTTAGTAATTCTTGAATGTTTGTAAAACTATTTATTGACTTTCTTTGTCCATATTAAAACTTTTTTTTTTATTATTGGACCTTCCAGTGAAGATAAACTCCATTCCTCTCGAGACTTCCACATTTTGTTTGTGCCACGACGGAGCATGTTGTGTGAGCAGCGGTTGAAGGAGCAGGGAGTTCTGGGTTCCTTTGTTAACATTGAGGAGTACATCCTGGATCTCATTCCCTTCGATGGAGACCTGCTCTCTATGGAGTATGAAAGTGCTTTCAGGGTGGGTTCCTCACGATCTCATTTCTTACACATTGTGCTGTTATATTATCTATTTATTTTTAAAAAAAAACATAATTTAATAATATAAATTCAATAATTTTATTTTTTATTTCTTTGGGGGGTTTTTCTTGCTGATTTTTCAGGAGTGCTACTTGGAGAACGACCAAACTAGCCTTTATCACACAGCCAAAGGACTCATGACTTTACAGGCCCTGTATGGAACTATTCCACAGATTTATGGCAAAGGAGAATGTGCACGTGTAAGTATAGTGTGCACAGATGTAAAGTAAATAATAATCTGTTTACTGCAGATCATATCAGTCACATCACTAATGACCTCATGGTTATGAGCTGAGCAGCAGGTGGAAACGATGGTGTTGTTTTTTGTTTTTTTTAATGTCTCTCATTTGTTTTCAGCATGTTGCCAATATGATGCTGAGAATGAAGAGAGAGTTTGCAGGAAGCCAGAATCAGATCCTGCCTGTGTTTGACACACTGCTTCTCCTGGACCGTAACATTGACCTGCTCACTCCTCTGGCCACACAGCTCACCTATGAGGGTCTTATCGACGAAATCTATGGAATTAACAATGGTAAGGGTTAAACCACTTTTTTTTTGCTTTTGACTTAAGTAATACATTTTAGCATATCCTCCTGAGCCTTTCAAAGGTTTGAAAAAAAAAATAAAAAACCTAAATTTAAATTTAATATCACTCTCCCAATCTTGTATTGTTTTTCCTTCTTTCCTTTATTCCAGGTTATGTGAAATTGCCTCCTGAAAAATTTGCTCAGAAAAAACAAGGAGAATCTAGTAAGGATTTGCCCACCGACCCTAAGAAGCTACAGCTAAACTCGGCAGAAGAACTTTATGCTGAAATCAGAGACAAAAACTTTAACGCCGTAGGAGCAGCTCTCAGTAAAAAGGCCAAAATTATCTCTGCTGCTTTTGAGGTTGGTCAGAGACTAAATGTGCATATGTAGAAATTTTCTTACTCCAGTTTCAGTATTTTGTTTTTAGTAATTCAGTTTTGATATTGACTTCTGTCAAACCCATGTTACAGGAACGTCACAATGCTAAAACAGTGGGTGAAATCAAGCAATTTGTGTCTCAGCTGCCTCACATGCAGGCAGCACGAACCTCCTTGGCCAATCATACGTCTGTGGCCGAGCTCATCAAAGACATTACCAGTGAGTTAATTTGACGCTTTCATTCGAAAATGTTGTAACGAGACAGGCATCTTGTTATGAATGCTCTAAGTGAAATGAAATTTTAAAAAGCTATAATAATTAACTGTGTTTGTTTTTCTGTTGCAGCTTCTGAAGCCTTCTTTGATAATCTAACAGTGCAGCAGGAATTCATGACTGGGGTCGACACTGATAAGGTATCCATGTGTGACTGTGTGAAAAGGGCTCGTGCCCCCCACTTTGGAAGAATCTGCCTTAGAGCAGCTTTGAAAAGGATTGGGTGTTAGATTTAGAATGAATGAAGAATTGTATACTCACGTGGGATTTTTTTTCATTCATTTTTTTTTTCAAGGTTAACACTTACATAGAAGATTGCATCGCTCAAAAAGACCCTCTGATCAAGATCCTACGTCTGGTGTGCATGCAGTCTGTCTGCAATAATGGCCTCAAACAGAAGGTGCTGGACTATTACAAGAGGGAGATTCTGCAGGTAAACAAAAATGCAGACACAGAAAGAATCTAAAGAAAAAGAACTTTGTAAACACAAGAGCAAAAGGTCAGGTTAACACTAATCTTGTTTGTTGTTGGTAATCGCTAATCTTTTATATATACTGTACTCTATTTTTACTTTTGTAAGACTTGTTCTGGTTGGTTTACATTTGTTTAATTTAAACACAAACAACAATTAAAAATGACGACAATTTCTTGTTTTTTTCTTTTGTTTTCTTTTTTACACCCTGTGCAGACCTACGGTTTTGAACATATTCTCACACTTAACAACTTAGAGAAGAGCGGACTTTTAAAGCTGCAGACCAGCTCCAGGAACAATTACCCCACAATCAGGAAAACTCTGAAATTGTGGATGGAGGATGCTAATGAACAGGTAGCCATTTTTAACTATAGATATTTTTAATTAAGACATGTTCAAGATTCTGAAGGAGGTAGTGACACTGTTCATTTTTGTCCCTACCTGCTCTAGAACCCCAATGACATCTCCTACGTGTACAGTGGCTATGCTCCACTCAGCATCCGACTGACCCAGTTCCTGGCCAGGCCTGGGTGGAGGAGCATTGAAGAGGTTTTGAAGATGCTTCCAGGACCACTCTTTGAGGAGAGACAACAGCTTCCTGCTGGGCTTCATAAGAAACGTAAGGACTGTGACAAACTGTATTTGTAACATACAGCCTGTAAAAAATCATTGATAAGACCAAAGTTGTCATACCTTTCATCTACGTATTATCTAAGCATCACAAATATTAGTGGTTTGAGGGAGAGATCACTCTCCCCATCTTCCCCTCTCTCTCTCTCTCTTTCTCTTCCCCTTCTCTTTATCGTTCCCTCCCTCTGAGGTTCATCCTGATGTAGGGTTATGAAGATTATAAAGAACAGAATCCATTTTTTCCCAGACCATTGCATCAGTAGTCCAGACAGATATCCAATAAGCTTTGAGATCAGCTGCACACACTCTACTACTTCAATAAATAAATGTATTCAAAACATATTTCCTTTGTTCAGGACCAATTCTATTATGCAGCAACATTTCTTCTCACTGATGTTTGTTTAGTCATTTTATACTTTTATCTCTGATACAGAGCCAGTCTGTACATGTGTGTATCTCAATGGGGGTTGGTGTACATTATGGTAAAGGGGCTGTACTCTACCTCAGGTTGTAAATGCTATCCCTGCCATTGCATTCACATCCTTACTGCAGATAGATGGAGCAAGTCATGTCAGAAAAAGAGCAGAAAAAAAATAGGAAGCGACTGAAAAGGACATGATACTAAATTGTTTGTTTTTGAATAAAAGTGTGATTATGTGGATATAGCCTTGATCTCTTGGTTGTTGGTTGTTCTGTTGCCCACTGCTGAATCCTTGGTCTGGTTGGTCCAGATAAGACCAGGTCTTTGTCCATTTGAAGTGAAATACAGTAGACCAGCAGATTAACAACCATGAGCTAAAACTCTCACAGAAACAATCTGTTGTTTCCCTGTTTTATCAGGTTTTGACAGTGAGGATCAATGTTTTCCTTTCACCTCCCATTCTGCCTGTTAGCTGCTGTTTTTAGGGGATGTGAATAATTAAAGTAAATACACACTCAGTATGAAACGTGCTAATTTAACAGTGTGTTTGGGCCTGAGACAATTGTCTTGTTTCAACATGTCTGAATTATAATGGATTATGGAAGGTGATAATGGAGAACATTGGTCCAGGGAGGTTGGTCCTGGACTAGTTTTTACACCAAACATTATCTTCCTGTTGAGTTCTGTTCTAATCTGCAGGGGCAGAAGTACAGGGAAGGCGTTAGTAATGGAAAGATGACACAAGTCTTTTCACTGTCCTTCAGGTCAGCAGGGGGAGAACCGAATCACACTGGTGTTCTTCCTGGGTGGAGTAACATACGCAGAAATCGCTGCACTTCGTTTCCTTTCTCAAATGGAAGATGGAGGAATGGAATATGTCATTGCCACCACCAAGCTCATCAACGGTACAACGTGGATCAAATCCCTCATGGACAAACCTAAACCTAAGACGCCCTGAGTCTCCTGCTCAAAAACCTGACAACATCAAGCACGTGAATCATCAAACAACATCAATTTGTCTTTGTGTGAGAAACACAGGTGTCTAAATACAGGTATGATGAGGCTCCTAACTTTAAGATTCAGTCTGCTTTATAAATGTAGATTTGAGTCTAGAACCTGCAAATTAAAAAAAAAATTTAAAAAAGTAAAATCTATTTCTGCATCACGAAGACAACCCTTGCATGTAACCTAATATTCACAGGTTCCTGAATGGACAACGCAGTCAGTGTGCATTTTCTGATTTTGTACTTGGATCCTCAGTGTGCAAGTCTGTGATTTAGAAACTGTTCATATGTATGTATGGTTAAAATCTGTGTTAAATTAAAATTAAAAAATATTTTAAAAAAAGGTGTAGCACTTTCACAGTTCGCAGCAACAAACAATATAATGTTTTAGAGTATATCTTCCAACAAGCTTATTTTTCCTAACAAGCAAATTTTATACTTTATATTTAAGTTATTTTATTGCATTAATTTTGTTGAGTAAATTAATATTTGTTTGTTTGTTTTTTTTACTTGATTTTCTTATTTTTGTTCTTTTTTAGCTGCATTACTAATATGTGATACCGTCTCTGGATCAGTTTGGTTACTTTTGGGTTCATCATAGCTACTTAAGCTAATTCTGACCCATCCATCCATTTTCATCCACTTATTTGTTACCGGATCGCAGTCTCTATGACAGCCAGCCAAATCACACTGCACCGTACCAACCCCCCTAAACCTTCCTGCAGGTGGTGAGTCCACTGGAAGGTACCAACCGCCCTAACCGGGATTCGATCTTGCCCAGGAGGTGAACCCTGGGGTTCCACACCAATGACAGATACATTGCCTCTGGGCCAAAGCACCACAATTCTGACCCATACATGCTGAACTCCAACAATGTAATGTATTTACCAAAATTGTTGAAAGACACAAGGTTAGATTTTCCAGAGTACAGTAAGATATTTGAAGGGTATTTGGCCCTGGACTACAGTTACTTTCTTATCCTGACAAATACAAAACTAAAATCCTATATGTTTTTGTAAATTAAATCAGATCATAATCAGTGGGTTTAGGCAGGAGGCATAGAAATCTGAGTGCATCTCTCAGAGCAGTAATGCAGGTCTCTGGAACAGCAATTAGCACTGTAACAGGCTCTCTGATCAGCTGATAATGGCCCTGCACTGTCTGGAGAGCTCAGCCCTCAGCGGCACAGGACTCTGATTAAATTAGGAGGCCATTTGCCTTATGTTCCGGAGGAGGATAAGTGTGCTGCATGAGGATGTATGATCTTTTTTTCAGTCAATATTGTCTCACAGCGAGAACAGAGGGAAGACCTGCTGCTGACAGCACTCAGCAGAGATACAGTAACAATGCTGAACTCTGCACACTGGGCTACATCCATGCTGATTTCCTACACTTTGATTGGACTTAATGAAATTCTGTGTTCTGTAATAGTGGCTTTGACAGACAAAAATCATACAGTGCAGTTTGTGTCTTTGAGGAGCAGGTGCACCAAGGACTTAAACTCCCTCATTAGATCAGTCCCAGGAGATTGAAATCATTGTGATCACTCAGTGCATCCCTCTTAGCTCCTCCTCTGTCAGAAGAGCTTGGAAACGCTTAAGGCGACACAACAACTTGGACCTGAGAACTGGAAACACAGAGTACACTTTCTGATCCGCTCCTGCTCCTGTAACACTAAGGTACAGTAAGAATGGATTTTATCTAGTTTGGTGATGTTTAGATTTGGTTTGTATCAGTTTATACTGTATTTTATAAAAGGACCATCATCTTTTCAGGTCAGCTTAGGATTTAACTTACGTGGTCTGAGAAAGTACCAGTGCAGAAAGTTGTTTCTGCAAATACTTGAAACAAATTATTGAAGGAATACAACAGGTGTTTTATTATTAGCAGATCAATATGGTTCCCTTTTACTCTAATTCACATAAATTATTAACAAGGCCTTAAGGCATCTTTTTGGCTACAAGCAAATCAATACACCTAGAAAACACACATTAAATAATTTATAGTGTTACAAGAGTGTATTACATTTTAATCTACAAAATGAAAGGAGTTTGTCATCAAATAATTTAAGTGTTCTAGCTGAAACATTATACAATTTGTTTTGGATTTGGATGTAGTGTGACTAGTGTTGCACTTTAGCAAAAGCTCCCCAGAACACACATTAACACTTATTTCGTATTTATTTATTTAGGATTTCCACCTGTCGTGTACAAGGTTCTGGGTTTGATCCAACATATTGTAGTCTCCAGTCCCAGATTGTGTGGCATCAGGAATGGAACCAGGTTTAAAAACTCAAATATGAGAAATAACGTTTCTGATTACTAGACAGCTCAGTTTTGAATTATTACATATATAGTTTTGTCTTCAGGTTGTAAAAGTGCTAAAACCCCAGTCTTGTGTTATACCAGTAAACTGACTGCACAATTGTCAATAATGAACCACAATTGGAACATTAGCATAAAAAATAAAGTAGGTTGGAACCTACAAAAATTCTTTTTTATTTAAATTGTCTCATTTATCAGAGAGTTTGTTGAAGAAGAAGAATCAAGTGTTTTCTGTAAAACCTATAGGTAATTGGCATGATTCATGTTTTAAAAAAAAACCTAACAGTTATCACACAGATTGTAAAGGAGGAACTCTGAAGGGAGTTTATGAACATGTTTACTGTAGTTTAGCTAAGTTTGGTTGCAGAGATCATTTAGTAGCTCATAGCCTCAGTCAGTTTTTCGAGGTTCTGTGTCATGAATAAACTACGTTGTTCCAGACTTACACATTTGATGAATCAGAACCTGCACAATGAAAGTTAAGCAGATAATATCTTTTATCCTGTTTTATGTGCATTGAAATTATACTTGTCACCATTATTTGATCTTTTTACTTTACAAAATTGACTTGAGGTTAAATACACTAGAATTTCTTAGTAATAAACATGTGTCTTTATCAAAAGTAGCCAAAAGTAACTACAAAAATGTCAAAATATACGCTTAGCATAGACACGGAATACCGTACATAAACCTAAAGGAGGCTAAAGATGGCCCAAGATTGTATTATAAATATTGTCTGATTTATTGTCATTGAAAAGAGGTTTATTTGTGTTCTGACAGTATGGGTCGAGGTGAGAACATGGGTCACATGGCTCAACCTGGTCTCAGAAAGGAAACAGGGCAACAAATGTTTCTGGAGGTGGAGCCGCTCTTCATCCGCTTCCTGCGGACATTCAAAGAAGTCCTCAAATTTGTACTCTTCAGCTACACAGTACTGTTTGGGGCTCTGCTTCTTGCCAGGTGGACCACATACTTCATGGTGGGGAAGTGAATAAAAAGAGACTGATGATTGTAAAAGAATGAGCTGGTTCTCAAACGCAATGCTCTTTCAGACATTCCAGGGAATTGTGGCCTATGCAGTTGCTTAAAAGTATTGTCAATCAAAGATTAACACATTTATATGTTTAGTTCTGTGTCTCCCACTATGCTTCAGCATTTACACATTTGTCTATATTTGTGTCGAGTATTGTCAAGTCAGTTACACTGCTCAGCTCCATTGTAACTCTAATTCTGGTTACTTTTTATTGATTGTATTCGTTGGCAATGCATTAAATGTGCAATATGAAATGTGTGTGTTGTTGATTCAGAGATGTTTTGATTATAATTACAAAAAATGTCTGACAAAAAGCAAAAAATAAATCAAAGGAATAAATTAACGAATTAATTAATTAAAGAAAAAAGTCAATTAATGTAATTACGCTAGATTTTCTATCAGGGTTGCACTGCACTTTTATAGATATGCTGCTTTAATTGAAACATGTTTTAAACAAACTGTATGTAATAAGGCAGCATTCAAATAAACTATATGCAACAGTGAACGGACTTAATTTAAAGTGTGTTTCAAGGAACGTAATGTGATTCACTTTAAAGAAAATAAACCAAATCAAGATCATAATTTTTACGTTTTATTAAATACATGCTCGCTTCCTGTTTAGCGAAGTTCGTTTTTATTCTATGACAAATTGCGCCCGGGCGGGGTTTAATATCTACGCATTGTTTTAAAGAAATCCTTTCGAATTTACATAAAAGGTGAAATGCGCTTTACAACAGCTAATCAACCGTTTTTGTATTCAGGAAAAAGAACTTTAACAGTGACTGTTTGTCGGTCAAACGGAAACACCGCCCGACAATTGCACTATCCGTGTTAAAGTTGCCTATCGCTACCTAGAGTGCGCCATTTTGAAAGTGAAATGCAGCTGTGAGGGAGAAGTAAAGCGGAGGAGAAAAGAGAAAATCTTAAAGTTAAATAGAGAAGTCGGGAAGACACCCAAATAAGTTATTTTTTTCACTTGCTTTGTAGTTTAATTCTGAAACGTCTGAATTCACCCAGGCCCGGAAGTTGTGCGGAGTGAGAAACAGCTCAGCCCGCTTCATTCCTTCACTGTTCATCGTTCGGAACCAAACACCAGAGTCGGGTCAGATTAAGTCCAGGGACGAAACCTGCAGTAAAGTGTTTGAAGCGCGATATGGCAGGTAAATTAGAAAGAACGTAAGCGATGTTTATTTGGTCAAAACGTGTGCAAAATGCTGCTGGTGTTATTTACCTGTGGGCTAACGTTAGCTATGACACTTTCGATATTCGGGTTACCCGAACACCAGGAACAATAACTGGAAAAGTACTGATAATTACATGTCATTTAAAATGTAACGTTTGAATTTTTTTACATGCGCAACTTTCCCGATTTTACGGCACTTGTCTCAGCCCTTCAGGGCAAACGCTTGTTCCCACAAATCACATCGAAATACTGTATCTTTTGGATAAATTAAATCACTTTTGTGTGTTATGAAAAAGTGCAAAAAACACATTTTTTTAATTAACGAGAAGCCGGAAATATCTCATGAAACATCTTTACTGGTACAAACGGCGAAAAGTGTACATTGATAGAATAAAACGATGTAGTTAGGGAAAAAGAAATAGATACAACCAAACAGTCAAAGAAAATTGTCTCGACAATTTAAATTTCACTAAATACATTTCTGTGAGATTAAGAAATGTATTTTCAGACCTTGTATTTACACGGTTTTTAAAATAAAAGTCATAGATATCAGTAAGTATCAGTCATATTTTATTGTCAGGGGAGTATACCTAAATTCCATTGTTTAACCAATGTCACTAAAGTAACATTCCAAGATTTTTTTTTTCTAATTGCCATTGTGCTCGTTTCCCTCTGCGTGGAGTAGCTATCTATTATTATTATAATATTATGTTCTTTTGTATTAGCAGGCTATTATTGTCATCTTCTGTGTTAAAGGTTGGGTGTTTTTCTAACAGGGTCCAGTGATGGGAATGATGAAGTTCAGTGGTGCTTCTCCCAAGTCAAAGGAACAATAGATGATGATATTGCTGAAGGTATGTTGCTGTGAAGAATGCAAAGGAGTTGCTTTAATAATAAATAGATTAATGTTTGTGCTTCTTGTGGGACTAGCTTAAATATGTGATATACAATGAATGTATGTAGAAAATGTAAAAAGGTAAATAGAAATGTAACAATTTTGATATGTCTAAAAGCACGCAGTAATTTAGGTCTACATGTGTGTTTATTAAGGAGAGCGTTTTGAATTTAGGAAGATGCTTCTTCGCAGTAGTGTGTATATTCTAGCTTATCACATACAAATTTCTTTGAGCTCTCAGCTTTGAGCTTTGGCCAAATGAGAGTTGAGAAGCTGAATAATCAGATGAAAACATAAACATATAATCAAGCCCAGATAATATGCACTGAAGTAAAGAACTCTTTAGGTTTACTTTTTGGTCTGTGATGTGGCACTCTCTGGGTGTCCTGTTATAAGCTGGTAAAACTCAAAGAGCCATTATCTATATCAGTCAGTTAGAGACAAACTGAGTTTTAACTGTCAAGTTTGTCTTTCAATAAGCTTGAATAATTCAAAATATGTGTCAGTTTTTTAAAATATCAGCTAATGCAGTAACATTTGACTACCAGTAAGTAGACACACACACATGTCCTGAAGACCAGTGTTTACAGTACATGCTGACTTAGTTTTGTGTAAAGCAGTGTTTATTTACAGTAAGCTTTTCCTGAGATGTAGTATAAAACTTTGAGCCTCTCTTTGTGTCAACAGTATAAAGGAATACAGTTCAAAGGCTGACATTCTGGAGACAGAAGACAAAAAGTATTTAGTTATCTGTTTTAGCTAATGACTCTTGTGATCCTGCAGGTCTTATACCTTACACCTGCACAGATCGCCAGAATACTTTTAGTGCCTTGAACACTGTGTAGGTATCAATTGTACTGATCTGAAGTGGTTAAAATGCTACTTAAAGTAAGACTTGATATCTCTTCTTCCTCTCAATTAATAACATTTTTCAAGTGGAGTCCCCCAAGGCTACATTCTTGGTCCTCTCTTTCTCACTCTGTATATGTTCCCCCTGAGTGTGATTAGTCAGAGTTCCCAAAGGGTATTAAAGCATGACTGGAACCAAACTTTTTTAAATTTAAAAATAACATAGTAGATGTTATAACTTGACGGTAGTACCAGCAACATGGGATTCCGTCGATACATCAACACCACAGTAACAAAGCCTTTCTAGATTTTACAGCAGTTACAAATGGACTTTCTTTCCTGTAGTTTTTTTTAAGTTGTTTTTTTTTCATTCATTGTCATCATGTTTTTGTGTATCTTTGAAGTTAACTTATTTATATTTGTACTGCATAACAAATTTTGTAAAACTGTTTTAATGTGCGACCTAAATTACATTGGATAGGATTGGATAGGATAACACTCCATTACAGTTTTTCTATTAATTTTTTTTCCGTATAAATGCTGAAATTTTCAATGTCTATTTTTGACCTTGATATGACAGTGGTGTCATATCAAGTGCTGTTCTGTAAACAGAGATTAATTGTTAGTCAGTTACAGACACTACTTTACTTCTCTATGTGTGGTAGCACTGTCTGTTATGAACAAACTTAAATCAGTAAAATACAAAATTATCCAGAGGGTTATTTTTTAAAAAGGCATTGCAAAAATATTTTTATACAAAATTGCATTAGTTCTGGGCTACTGTATAATTATTCTGTGCCTAATGAATGCAGACCTACAGTAAATAATTTAAAGCAAACTAATGTGATAAAATTGTAACAACTTCAAATATGCTCACAGCTGACATCATTTCTACGGTGGAGTTCAACCACTCTGGGGAGCTACTGGCCACTGGGGACAAAGGAGGCCGAGTTGTCATCTTTCAACAGAAACCTGAGGTAAGTTTTGATCATGTATTTGATACTACTGTTTAGTGCAAGGTTTTTTTTATTATTGGCTAAGAACAACTTAACCTAGAGTTAAGTTGATGTTATAAGCCTTTAGAGGCTATCTTGCTTTTGGTTGTACTTGGCTGAAACCTTACAGTTAAACATGTCAGGGGTTTAGACTGTCCTAACTGACACCACAGCCTAGAACTGCTCAGTTGAGTGTTTTTGATTTTAAAAAACTTTTTATGCTGTTTTTGCACTAGCATCTAATACAGTATCTGCTGTGCAGTGACAGTAGTTTTTCCTTTCCTGTTTCTTAGAGTAAGAATCTGCCACAGCGCAGAGGAGAATACAATGTTTACAGCACGTTCCAGAGTCATGAACCAGAGTTTGACTACCTGAAAAGCCTTGAGATTGAGGAGAAGATCAACAAGATCCGATGGCTGCCGCAAAAAAATGCAGCACATTTTCTTTTGTCCACAAATGGTTAGTAAACAAAATTTACACACTGGAAAAACAAGAGAATTGTTCTTTCTGCTAAGTTGTGGTCTGTTGACACTTAAATACCATCACACCTGAATTGACAGCTACAACTTGTTTTTCTGCCTTAATATCAGACAAAACCATAAAGCTGTGGAAAATTAGTGAGCGTGACAAGAGGCCAGAGGGCTACAATCTGAAGGAAGAAGATGGAAGATATAGAAATGCCAGTTCTGTCACATCACTGCGGGTTTGTACTGTTACACTTAAACTTGTTTCTGCTCTGGAAAGTTTTCAAAAATGAGTAAAGTACAGAGACTTATGTGGGCTTACAATAGGGCATTGACAACTTTTGAATTTTTTTTTTCATGTTGACTAATCTGATAATAAAGTCGATGTCAAGCCGATGAATAATTTATTACGTCATCACATTAGCAGAATACGCAGTACACAGATGCATGTCCCATAGTAGACAATCAGCCCTCCATTCTCCATTACTTTATAATGAAGAGCACACAGCAATAAGTTGTTCTATCAGCTCTCAGTGAGATGCTCATATATATGGTCACTTTTTTACCCTTAGCGCCATAACAGTTTTGTCCACTAGGACGGACTTCACAGTCTGTTCACGTAGCCACACAGTTTTCCTTCCAAACGCCTAAGCACTAAGTCCAACTTTTTTATGTCTGATAGTGATACTGCAACCGATACCATTCTGACATCTTCTTTTCTCCTCCAGCATGCTACAGGCTTCTGTTGCTGAGGCGATAGGGTCTCTGTTTACAGCATGTCACGCAAAGTTAAGTTGAGCATTTGAGCTTAGGTATTGGATCGGACATGCAAAGGTTGTTTTATTTGATGTTCAATCTTGAAATTCGGACCAATATCGGACCAATACAGATTATGGGATTGAGTCATCTCTAGATGGGCGGTTTGGTGTGTTTGCAGAGTAATGTTACCACCCATTTTTTTAAGTGATTATGAGCTGGTTAGGTTGATGTTAAAATATCGAATAGACAATCAGAGGTAAAGAGCATTGGCTTGTCTAACCATTTTTCTGTCAATGCCCTAGTTCACAGCACTTCCTGTTTAGATTTGGTTTTAAGATCTAGTGTTTCATGGTTTCATTTTATGCCATATTTTTTAAATGGACAACTAATACCCATTTACCTGTTAACTGTCATCTGTACAGCAGTATAGTCTTCACTAAAATGATCCTAGATTCAGTTGTCATCTTCAGGTACCAGTATTTAAACCCATGGACTTGATGGTTGAAGCCAGCCCCAGACGAGTGTTTGCCAACGCACACACTTACCATATCAACTCCATCTCCGTCAACAGTGACTGTGAAACCTATCTGTCTGCAGATGACCTGCGGGTTAATCTGTGGCATTGGGAGATCAATGATCGGAGCTTCAGTATCCTTTTGGTTCTCTTGAGAGATTGACCAATATTAAGGTCAGAAGGCACTACTTTTCCAGTCACATTCATTCATCTGTTTCTCTGGGTTTCTGGGTCTGTTTTGGCTGGGTAAAACACTCATCATATCTAAAGTTTTCAAAGTCTGTTGATCTTAGCGACTCCTCTTCAGATATTGTGGATATAAAACCTGACAACATGGAAGATCTGACAGAGGTAATCACAGCAGCAGAATTTCATCCAAACCAGTGCAACACGTTTGTCTACAGCAGCAGCAAAGGAACCATTCGTATGTGTGACATGAGGACATCTGCACTCTGTGACAACCATGCCAAACGTGAGGCAAACAGTCAATATAAACTGTGTGCTTTATTAACCCGTGTTTTATTATTTCACTTTTTTTTTAATTGTTACATTTTTCTCCACTACTCATGTTGTAGAACAGCTTACTATTGGTGACGTTAATAGCCTTCAAGTTGAACTAATGTACAATTTCATCAGTGTTTGAAGAGCCAGAGGATCCAAACAATCGTTCTTTCTTCTCTGAGATCATCTCATCCATCTCTGACGTAAAGTTCAGTCACAGTGGACGCTACATCATGACCCGTGACTATTTGTCTGTCAAAATCTGGGATCTGAATATGGAGAGCAGACCAGTGGAAACATATCAGGTTTGACATTCATTTCTGGTTTCTATTCTTTGGTGTTGGATGAAATTTAACTCTTCATCAACCCAAAAGGAGTGTTCTTGGGAATTCTACCTTCCATGATTTTACATGTATTTCAATAAAGCTAATACTCCAAATGTCTTTTGTAAACAGGTGCATGACTATTTCAGGAGTAAGTTGTGTTCTCTATATGAAAATGACTGCATCTTTGACAAGTTTGAGTGCTGTTGGAATGGAAATGACAGGTAAGTCGATGCTTCTTTTCCAACTCAATAATGAAGCAATAATAGATTAATCTGTGCTCTGTAAATTTGAGCATTACAACCAATAGTGAACATCCTTCGAGGGTAAACTACTATGCTAATGTTGCCCATTGTGAAAATGAGCTTGAGACCCCAGTGTCGACTTCCTGACATGCAATAGTAATGTGTATGAGTGTCTGACACTGAAAGGTTTAACTAAAAGTTTAAATCCATTTGTTTCAGTTAATCCCAGTTCCTTTAATGTTTTAAAAAACTAAAAATGATTAGTTAAATATAACTTTATAAGTGTAATTGTCTCCCTGCTTCCAGCGTGGTGATGACTGGCTCCTACAACAACTTCTTCAGAATGTTTGATCGAGGCTATCGACAGGATGTTATATTAGAGGCATCACGAGATAACTGTAAGCCTCGATCAGTCCTGAAACCGCGTAAAGTAAGCTCAGGTGGGAAGCGCAAAAAAGATGAAATCAGCGTAGACAGTCTAGACTTTAACAAGAAAATCCTGCACACAGCCTGGCATCCTTTGGACAACATCATTGCTGTGGCCACCACCAACAATCTCTATATATTCCAGGATAAAGTCAACTAGAAAGTCAACTTAAGGGTTCAGGTCATATTTTCAGCTGCCATTTCTCCATACACACACTGTTAACAGTGTCTTATTTGGTCTGATATGAAAACTGTAGAGCTAAGAACCAAATAACTACTCTGTGGTTGAAACTGTAAATACCAAATACCTAGCTTTTAGGAGTCTGGTCCTTTTAGGGAGACATTATTTTAAATGGAGATGTGTGTCGGTCACTAAGGAAGTTGATACAACTGTGGTGAATCACTTCATTTAGTATGTAACACTGTAACTCCAGTACTTTTAAATCAGACAAAAATAAAGACTCTACTTGTTTTTTGATGTACCGTTAGGACAGTTGTCTTTAGTGCAAGTATATTTTTGTATCTGGTGTTTTTATCAACGTGCCAAGTGTTCTCCTTCTGTCTTTGTCTCTCTAAACCTGGTCAGACATGCAATAAACTGTTTTCAGAAGTCTTCCGTCTTTCCCTGTTTGGTGGCAGTGGTAATTATCACTGTTATATTACCTGAATACAGTGATCAGTGAATGTACAAAAACATTTTAGAAGTAAATCATTTTGTATTGTGAAAGCTTTTCGAAAAATCACTTCTGTTTTGTTTTTTTTCTTTTCTATTTACCTGAAACTTCTTTGTTCTTTGTGGCCATCCACTCAATCTTAGTCACATTTTTTTTAGGTCTTTTTGATAAAAACATGTCAGTTTTGTAGATTATAATTAAATTAAAAATAGATAATAAAATATAAGGGCAAAGCAGTGGGCCTGGACACTACATGTGATTTACAGCAGAATCACTAAATCCCCAGTTTGTAAAATTATTTCCTTTGTGTGAAAACGAAAAAGAAAAGGGAATTAGAACAGATTCTTTTGATACGACAGAAAGTGATGCCATTATAGTCTGATCACTGTGGTTTCTTTTGCTCTTTATTTCAGTCAGGGAGGTCGTCTTTGAGGCTCAGGAATTGTTGTAGAATTAATTTAATTTAATTTGGGTCTTAGCTCTAGCAGATGATGTATTAAAGGTGCAGTTTTTGACACCGACTCTGCTACTTCTATGAATTAGCCTGAGCAGAGGACTCTCTCTTACAATGGTATTGCCGTGGTTTTCAAATGTCAAATGGTTTTTGATTGTGATTACTCAAGAAGTTTGTATTGCCACTACATTTGTTTTCATAAGCACTGCCACTGGTATTTTTTAAATATACCAATGATATGTCTACATACTCTTTAACCTGGATTACATTATCCAGTTTCTCCTGTGCCATTGTTTTTTTTAAAAAAAAAAAACATTTTTAGCTGCTGTGTAATTTAATGAGAACTATTTTAACTGTTGTTAATTATTAAAAAAACAAAATCATTGTCTCTGTAAAAGGTGTTAAAGTCATTTTTGGCACAGTCAGTGGTTATTGTATAAAATGTTTTCTTTTTCTCTGCTGTGAAACAGGTTGAGCTCTAAGGTGTTATATGTTTAAGTAGATTTTGTAAAGCACTAGATTGCAGGTGAATTTGTTTTACTATTGGGTGTAGTGGGCACGAGAAGTCTCAGATATTTGTCGTCTCTGTGTTGGTGCTGAGTTTGCCTGTGGCAGCATCAACATGTTTGCTTTATTTCAGAGTTGTTTTCTGTTTACTGTTTCAGAGTTAATGGTTTAATAAAGTCTGATGTTTGGTAAAACTGTTCTTAAAATGAAAAATCTATACAGACTATAAAATTTAAGGATGCTGTGGCCAATCTTGTGCAAACACCAAAGGTTTCTGGTTCTAGAACTTTGTGGTGAAGCAGAAAACACTGCTCAGGGGAATAAACGGCTGGTGTGTGGTCACAGTGTCAAACTTTTGATAAGGAAAACTAAAATAAATACTTAAATTAATAAAATGTTAAAGAATTTAGCAAGCATTTTTTTCATCTTCAATTTTTATGAGCCTTTTCAGGCCTGATGTTAACAATCTTCAATCTTCCTGTTCTAACAAGACGAATGAATGATATTAAAATGTGACACAACATATTTCTGTATTAATGAGGAGACTGGAGATGTTTGTGTTCATTTACATCTGCAGAATAATTCAAATAAAACAATAAAACAGTATGCACCTTTTTATTTTCTTTTTTATCTCTAATAAAGATGTTAGGAGACGTTTGATGTTCATTTCTAATGGCTCACCGTATGGAGTATGCCTTTGTAAAATTGTGAAGATACTTAATAACGTTTTTCAAGCCAGCCACTAGGGTACACGAAGCCGTGTTTATAGTGCCGGTCCCAAGCCCGGATAAATGGTGAGGGTTGCGTCAGGAAGGGCATCCGGCGTAAAACGTTTAGCTAAATCAAATATGCAGATCAATAAAACGATTTCCATACCAGATCGGTCGAGGCCCGGGTTAACAACGACCGCCAACAGTGCCGTTGACCAACAGGGCACTGATGGAAATTGGACTACTGTTGGTCAGAGACAGAGTCAGAGACAGAGAAGAAGAGGAGGGCGTTTGGTTAAGAGAAAAAGAGAAAAGATGAAGAATAGAAGTGTTAGTCTGAAGTTTGGAACTTTGAATGTAGGTACAATGACAGGGAAAAGTAGAGAAGTAGCTGATGTGATGGAGAGAAGAAGAGTAGATATTTTGTGTGTGCAGGAGACCAGGTGGAAGGGCAGTAAGGCTAGAAACATTGGAGGAGACTACAAACTGTTTTATCATGGTTCAGATGGGAAGAGAAATGGAGTAGGGGTGATCCTAAAGGAAGAATATGTAAGAAATGTGGTGGAGGAGAAAAGAGAGTCAGACAGGTTGATGTGTGTGAAGGTAGAAATAGAAGGAGAGATGATTAATGTTGTTGATTAAAGGTGCTAGGTATGTCCTCTGGGCAGAGAAAGGAGGACAAAGAGACCTGGTGCTGGAATGAGGAGATCCAGGAGAGTGTGCAGAGAAAGAGATTAGCGAAGAAGAGATGGGACAGTGACAGAACAGAAGAGAACAGACTGGAGAGAGGACAAGGGAGGTGAAGAGGGAAGTGGCCAAGGCCAAACAAAAGGCATATGAGGAGTTGTACGAGAGTTTGGAAACAAAGGAAGGAGAAAAGGAGTTGTATAGATTGGCGAGACAGAGAAATCAAGCTGGGAAGGATGTGCAGCAGGTGAGGTTGATTAAGGACAGAGAGGGGAATGTGATCACAAGTGAGGAAAGTGTGCTGAGAAGATGGAAGGAATACTTTGAGGAGTTGTTAAATGAGGAAAATGAAAGGGAAAGTAGAAACGAGGAGCCAGAGACTATTAGGAAGAAGTTAGATCAGGTTAGAAAGGATGAAGTTAGAAAAGCCCTGAAGAGGATGAAGAGTGGAAAGTCAGTTGGTCCTGATGACATACCAGTGGAAGTATGGAAGTGTTTAGGAGAAGTGGCGGTAGATTTCCTGACTGGTTTGTTTAACAGAATTTTAAACACTGGCAAGATGCCTGATGAGTGGAGAAAAAGTGTTCTGGTGCCAATTCATAAGAAGGGTGATGCACAGAGTTGTAACAACTACAGAGGGATAAAGTTGATGAGCCATACGATGAAGATTTGGGAAAAAGTAGTTGAAGCAAGGTTGAGGCAGGAAGTGGAGATTTGTGAACAACAGTATGGTTTCATGCCTAGGAAGAGTACAACAGATGCAATATTTGCCTTGAGGATGTTGATGGAGAAGTACAGGGAAGGTCAGAAGGAGCTGCATTGTGTATTTGTAGATCTAGAAAAGGCATATGACAAAGTGCCAAGGGAGGAATTGTGGTTTTGTATGAGGAAGTCAGGAGTGGCAGAGAAGTATGTTAGTTTGGTGCAGGACATGTATGAGAATAGTACAACAGTAGTGAGGTGCGCTGTTGGGAGGACAGAAGACTTCAAAGTGGAGGTGGGACTACATCAAGGATCGGCCCTGAGCCCCTTCTTGTTTGCTGTGGTGATGGACAGATTGACAGATGAGGTCAGACAGGAATCCCCATGGACTATGATGTTTGCAGATGACATTGTGATCGGTAGTGAGAGTAGGCAGCAGCTAGAAGAGAACCTAGAGAGGTGGAGGTTTGCACTAGAAAGAAGAGGAATGAAGGTCAGCCGCAGCAAGACAGAGTACATGTGTGTAAACGAAAGGCAGAACAGTGAAATAGTGAGGCTACAAGAGGCAGAGGTGGTGAAGGTGCAGGAGTTCAGGTACTTAGGATCAACTGTTCAGAGCAGAGGAGACTGTGGAAGAGAGGTGAAGAATAGAGTACAGGCAGGATGGAACAGCGGGAGAAAAGTGTCAGGAGTGATCTGTGACAGAAGAGTGTCAGCTAAGGTGAAGGGAAAGGTTTACAGGACGCTCGGTCACACTGCAGTTGCATCTACACACCGGACGATATTATTAATAGCATCAACTTACTGTGCATTGCCGCAAAGGGGTCGTGTTTACAGTGGATCTCCATCGGTGCAGTGGGGCTGGAGGGGCCCCGGCACGATATGGGGGCTCCTAAAATACCACAGGACGCCTCTCTTCAGGCTGCACAGCGTGAACTCCTGGTCCCCGAGGACGATATTTTAACTTTTTTTTTAGATCAGTAAAAAAAAAAATTATAATAATTCAAACTAACCGACGAGCTCGTTGTGGTTTGTTTAGAATTGGACAGAAGTATTTTTTTGGGGGGGTGGGCGTCAAAAAGTGTCCATCAGTGACGGGCTCCGTCCTCCTCCTGCTGCGGACGGGACACCACAGCTGCTCTGTCCTGGCGTCCACAGAACCACAGGACGCAAAAGACAGCAATGGAACTCATTCAAAGAGGAGATATATGGATGCAGTGAGGGAGGACATGCAGGTAGTTGGAGTCAGAGTAGAAGATACAGAGAACAGGGAGAGATGGAAATCAATGATCTGCTGTGGTAACCCCTGAAAAAAAGGGACAAAGCCGAAAGAAAAGGAAGAAGACTTAATAAAGTTTTTCAATTCTCAAAAACGTATACAGTGACCATTATTTTAAAAGAAGCCACCTCACACCCAGCATCATTGTGTCAGGGAGACATATACAGGTTGTGACTGACAGCTTAGAAACATTAACCTTGTTTACTATATCCTGGTGTTTATTCCTCTGTATATACTACATTTGTTTATATTCTTTTATTTTTAAGTGTAATTTCTTCTTTTCTATTTTTTTTATTTTGAAATTTTCATCACATCTTTCTTCCGGAGAACAGAAATGTGCTCTAATTATAACCTATTATTAACACCTGTAGTGTTTACTAAGGACTATTTAAGCGCATGCGCAATACCTGGTCAACAATGAAAAGGCTGAAGTGAAGAGTCAACATGTCTGGAAACACGTCTGTCTGTGCTTTGGCGGCGGCTGCTCACAACAACAAAAGCGGTGAAGTGTCCTTTCTTCTCGGTACGTTTTTATCCTTATACTCTACACTTATATATAAACCGATATCTTTAACCGTTAAGCATATGTTTTAACAAAGACTTTATTGTCGAAGTTAGCACGGCTTGTTAAACAACGAAGGAGGAAAAGTGATGTGACGACAGCGTCCTCTTCGCTAATAGCGTTCGTTGTAAGTGTTGGAAGAAAGAGGACCAGCTAATAGCGTGGCTTGACAAAGTGGTGGGCGGGGACCAAGACAAAAACTGTGTTCTGATCCTGTGCTGAAAACAGCGACACGTCCAGATACTTGTGTAAGATCACAATATACAAACACAGTGATTTAACACCAAATGATTTCAAACTACTGCATAAAATAAAACACGTTATATTGTGAAAAGAAAACATTACGTGCACATGTTAAGTGTACTTTTGTGTTACAAACCACAGCCTGAAAGATATATAAACATAAATCATATGCATAAATAAACAAGGGTCATTCAAGGTTCAAGGTTTTTGTTTGCCATTTGTGCATAGACCCACGGTCCATGCACGTTGGAAACCTTGTGCAGGCTTACAGAGTCAACAGTTTTATACAAACAGTGGATACATTGGAAGAAGAATGTTAGAGATGGAGCTACCAGGTAGGAGACAAAGGAAGGCCAAAGAGGAGACTGACCACTGAAAAAGGGACAAAGTCAAAAGAATAAGATTTCTTTTACTTTATAATTAACGTTTTATTTATAAGAACATCAAACCTCGCTTGCATTTTTAACATGGATTTGTGTCCAGAAATCAGCTCACAGTTTGACAGGCCTCAAATCCCATTTGCTGTATATTACAATATTCAAGGTCTAGTTTAAGTTTCATTGTTTTTAAACAGCCTTTTAATCATGTGAAGATAAAGTTCAGTCAATATTCCTTATCTTCTTTGTGGAAAGTAGGTAAATAAATGCATGTTGTTTGTGGGACACAGACACGTATGCACTGGTATCTGGAGAGTACATTCTTTGAAAATGTAGGTCAGCTGCATCTTTTGCAAGGTAAAGATGTGCTTGTGTTAGTGCTTAAACACTCAAGGTCTCATTCCTTGGTATTTCAAAGGCTCATGGGTGGAGCTGGAGCTAAATGTGGACACGCATACTGACCTGGAACAGACACCTTCTGCAGACCAAATGAATGACAACACCAACCAGAGTGAGACTGTTGAGATCTGTGAGGGGATTCGGGAGGATGTGGAGAACCTCATCGGAGGACTTGAGCACGTGCTGTCATCCTCCTCCATCCACAATGGTGACATGGAGAAAATCTTGCTAGATGCTCAGCATGAGTCCAGTCCCAGTAACTCCTCCTGTCAGAGACCTCCCAGTCCAGATCAGGATGATGGTCAGATAACCTTTGATGTGGAGATGCCCAGTAGATGCCCTGCAGACCTACAAATGGAGGATGCAGGAGTGGATAAGGAGAACGAGGAGGATTTCCTGATAAACAGAGCGACGCCCTTGGGCTGTCATTGGTCCAGCACACCGGAAAACACTCCACCAAGGTAAGTAGGCTGTACTCTAACAGGATACTTTGTTCTTTGGGTTAATTTAAACTACATCAGGAATAAGCATTTGAAAATAGATTTTTTTTTTTTTTTTTATAATTTATATACTTAGGGAGTTCCACTTCAAACATCCTCAGCATTCAATGAACTTTAGCTTGAGAAAGTGTGGAGTCATGCAAAAAGGAGGCATCTTCTCCCTTGAATTCTTCAAACCCTTCATTCCGTGCTTATGCATGTCTCACATCCTTGCTCTAGGCCTAGGGTAAGTCTGGATTCTATTGGATGTTTTAAAGTGAAGTTTTGGTAAAATATAGCAAACATTTGTCTTGTGTTCAAAAAGACCAACGCAATGTTTCAAATTTATTACTTTTTTTGATATTGAATATTTTACCACCTTAGCTCTTCACCTTTTTTTTCTTTTTTGAAAGCTCTTGTTCTTGCTTTATCCATTTAAAAAAAAGTTTGTGTGTTTTATAGAGTGTACATTGGGAAGAGAATAGCCACAGCCGCCACCAGCTAATGAGTGGGAAACGAAACAATGGCTGGATGGAGGTCCCCCACTGCCCTCTGGTGGTCCAAATATACGCATTCTTGTACGTTCAATTTTTATTGTTAGAAAATATAAGAGCTAAAAGGGGGACACAGAACAAATGGGTAAATGGTCTTGTGTGGGAACAGTTACTGGCTTTTTCTTGTTTGCTCGTAACAAACCATTAGCTTTTTAATGTCTGTATTTGTATTTGTATCAGCAGTTATGGTAAAGTGCCAAATCCATACATGTCACTGCTGAACACCAGTGATTTAGCTTTAAGACTGCTGGTAGCATATTTAATGTATCCGCTTAAGTATTCAAAGGTGTAAATGTAAACATTACTTGAGCTGTTGTCTTTATTTTAGTAGACACTTTTATATAGTTACAGCTGCAAAAATATGTAATATGATCACTGTCATTGTATGTTAATAAATAAATTGCTGTTAGAAATATATCTGGATCTGTTGCTTTTATCACTTACACTCCTTCAATACACAGTAAGCACATGTTGAGGTCATAGTGATAATATTTGATATGTCATGCTTTTTATGAGGCGTTTTCTAATGTCTCTGTTTTAATGCTGTAGCTGATGTGTAGTTTCTTGCGTAATGTAAAAAAATGTTTTCTCCTAAATAGCAAATGACACTGGAGAAAGTAGGTTAATTGACATAATATAATAATAGTAATAATACATTTTATTTCATAGGTGCCTTTATGTCACCCAAGGACACCTTACAGTGAATACAAAGATAACAACACAGCATTAAAAAACAATAAAACATTAATACATTAAGTTATCAAGTTAAAATACAAGTACAGTGGAACATCAGACGCAGAAGGCAATTTTAAACAGATGAGTATCATATGATATATGATATCATTAACAAAGGGTTGTATGTGTATAGAAGCCAGAGGAAAATGACAGTAACTGAAACATGGAGTGCTTACTTTAGTATTAATGCTGATTTGATGACTGTGGTGAGGAACATGTTCATGTGAATAAGAGAGACAGCAGTAGACCAACTACTTTTGTTTCCCTGTGAGCATAAATGACTTATTTCAAAGGGGTGGAGGCGTCAGCTCAGATTTTGTTTAGTTATTCTGAAAAAAAAAATCGTAGATGTAAGCAAACATTTTAATAAATATTTGTAGTAAGTTACTCTTGGAGTACAGTTTGAAGTAATATATATAATGTTTCACTGTCTTGTACAACAACACTTTTCGATCTTGACTTTCGATCTCGACTCTTTTTTATTGCCTCTCACACTAACTTATAATAATTAAAAAACTATGTGTCATTGTAACAGACTTGTGTGTAGTAGATCAATGTGCAATACGTTATGGAATATGAATAAGGTTTGTCCTGTAGATGTCAATACAAGGTAAGTGAATATAGCTTAATTGAACTCAGTGTATTATTGAAACCTGAAACACCATAATGGTGATTCATTAAAGACAATCATCCTGATCGTTCTTTTGAATTGTACATTTCATATGCATGTTTTAAATCCTTATGTTTTAGAATTTAACAGAGGGAATGACATTATTGACAGTGACTATGATGTATGGTTTGAAGTCTTGGAGGCTTAACTAAAGATAGCAGTTGAAGATTTTTAATGGGAGATAGTATGGACAGGATTAGAGATTATAGAACAGCTAAAGTTGAGGAAAAAGTGAAAGAGATAAAAGTCAAGACTGAGATGGCATGGACAAAAAATGTTGACAAAGGGAAACCAGGAAAAAATGTAACATGGATGGAGTACAGGGGGGCATGGCAATTGTTGGAGAAATATTACAGGAAGACCACAGCGAGACGGCGGCAGATGATCGGTTGTAACAGATTAAGTCAAAAACAAATATGACTTAAGATTTTAACATGGTTCAGACGTAAACAGGTGCAGTTCACATCAAATAAAGATGGAGCACAGCTGGGTGGAGTATTGCGCATGCGCAATTTATTTCACCCATTCGCTGTCTCCCTGTCTCTGTCCTCCTTTTAATCATTAAAATCCGGGCAAAAGACTTCTACGTCACCGATATAACTCACATTATCGTTTCTTCTATATTTACCCGTTTCTTCTCTGTGTGTAGAATTAATTTCCTGCCGCGAAAAGTACCCTGCACCGTTATTTTGGCTGAAATCGAGAATAAACGAGCATCCGTCCGTTGAGTGGGGGAGAGCTAGACTTTTAGCATTAGCCGCGGCGTAGTTAAAGGGAGGATCCTCAAAATGTCTGGTTATCAAGGAAAAAAGAACATCCCCAAAATCACTGTGAGTACCTTAGGTTTAAAAATAAATGTGTATGTTGCGGGTGCTTCTCCTATTTTGTCAGTTCTGAATTAAGACATCCATTTAGAACAGGAGTCAGTTGAGGTTTCACTTGCTCCTCCCATCCATTTACATTGAGGCTCAGCATCAAGGTTAGCGTTAGCAGCAGTATCAATGAAATGGCAAAACGTTTACATTTAAATAAATGTTCAAAATATCAATGGATGGTCAAGTGGCAGGTTCAAGATGTCTGACAGAATTGTTGTCTGACATCCAATTTGAAAATTACATTTCACATTTTTCATCACAAAATATCTGATTTTTCTTTTATTGTTTATTTCATTACAAAATTCTTTAAATTTTTATTTATAAACTGTAGACTATTCAATCAGTTGTTCAAGGCTGGCAACTAAGAAAAATCACAATGTAATTTTTATTTTTTGTTTAGTTTTTGTTTAAGCATTGATAATCAATGTTTAGACAATGTCAGTATTACATTATCCTCTTATCTGTGCTGGTGTACGCAAAGATGTATATATAATTTCTTAAGGAAATAAGTTGTAGATATTTATGATTTATATTGTGAAAACTGTGTCTGAAAAATACATTAAGATGATAATTCCTTTTTTTCTAATTATTAGTTTTTCTGGTTATGACACTGATTGTACTTTTTTATACCACTATGTCTACATTTAATATGGTGTTCAAGATATTCCTTTGATATTGATTAAAACAAACAGGCTGTGAGACTTATATTCAACTGATATTGAAAAGAGTGGAACACTTTTCCATTAAGATTTGGATTTTTTTTTTTTCTTGAATCAGAGTGATCGACTCCTCGTTAAAGGAGCTAAGATCGTGAATGATGATCAGTCGTTTATGGCTGACATCTACATTGAAGATGGTGTCATCAAGTAAGTTGAACTGTCAAGATTTAAATCAGGGGTACCCAATAAGTAGATTGAAATCTACCAGTCGGTCGCAAAGGGAGTGCTGGTAGCTCATGAGAAATAAAAATAAGAATAATAATATTAAATATATATATATAATCCTGTAGGGTGTGACCATAAAATGTAAGAATTTTATGCAAAACAGTTACATGCATTTAAGGATACAGGATCTCAACATATAATGTATCTCAACATATAATGTACATATAAAATATGTTCGGTTTATATGAGCAAATACATATATTTCACTTTTTTTTATTGTAGGTAGATCACTTTAGCCTGGTCATTGGAATAGTAGCTCTCAAGCTAAAAAAGTTTGGTAACCCCTGATTTAAAGAAATTATTTTCATCCACATTTATTCACAGTTTGATGCACAATTTTCAAGTCATAAACTGTAGACACACACATTATAAATCATCAATATACATTTTAAATCATTTAAATCAGTGGAAGAAATGTTTGCGACATTTTACTTCTCTCTGTATGAAACCCATAGCAGTGTTTTTTCATAAGTCGTGATCAAACATGGCCAAAAAAAAAAACCCTGAAATAAAAAAGAAATTCTTACTTACACATGACATTTTCTGGCTTTTTTTCAAATCATATTTTTGTTTAAAATGTGCCTGTTTTTTCAACACAGGCAAATTGGAGACAACCTGATTGTTCCTGGTGGGGTGAAGATCATTGAGGCCAATGGGAAAATGGTAATGCCTGGTGGCATTGATGTCCACACCAGGTTTCAGATGCCTGATCGAGGGATGGTGGCAGCAGATGATTTTTACCAGGGAACACGAGCAGCTTTAGCTGGAGGAACCACCATGATCAGTGGGTTCAATTGTATAACAAACTGTAACAGTCAGTTACACAGACTTACACGTATGATAATGTTATGGATTAAACTGAATTGTCATTGTTTGTGCTCCTGTACAAAAATGCAAGTTACATACTGACAGTATATACATTGCCCATTCTCTCAAATAAAACATCATTGGTTTGTATTTTACAGTTGACCATGTGGTACCAGAGCCGGGCACCAGCCTGGTCTCTGCTTTTAATCTGTGGAGGGAGTGGGCTGATGGGAAGTCCTGCTGTGACTACTCTTTGCACGTTGACATTACTGAGTGGAACAAGGGGACTCAAGAGGACATGGAGACTCTGGTGATGGATCACGGTATGTGGAACACAGCTGTTTATGTCTTTTATTCTGTTTATGTGGATCATGCTCTTATCTCATACATGTCAAACTCAAGGCCCGGGGGACAAATGCGGCCCGCCAACCCATGTGGTGTGGCCCGCAGGATTTTAAATAGCATTTAGTAAAGGCCCATGCATCAGAGTTTCTTAACCTAAGAAATTAATTTTTTTTATAATCAAATCAAATTATAATCAATTGCAGAAACATGTACTAATCTGTTATGACAGACCTGTACTGTCAGGTGCTGAGCATTGAAGGATCATTCAGTTTTCAGAATAAAACTTCTTTTATACTTCCATTCTGTTAGCATCAGTTTGAATGATCTGTTATTTTAAATTATTGCCAGATTATCTTTAAGTAAATGGATATGATTGGACTTTGTTTGAATGAAGTAAATTAGTAAAAATTGAGTACATTCTTTTTTCCATTGTGTCCCACTGCGGCCCTGCACCAAATGACCTATGGACTGGTACTGGTCCGCAGACCGGGGTTTGATTACCCCTGATCTATATAGTTTTCAGTTTACAACCGGCCCTTCAAGGGCAACTGTACTGCTGATGTGGCCCATGGTGAAAATGAATTTGACCCCCCATCTGAAGACGAGCTTGCAGTGATATTACAGCTGAGTGCAGGAACAGTAGAAAAAACGAATTCAGCCATTAAACAAAAGCCTTGTTTTTATATCATTGTTTTTTAATTCAATGTTCCTCAGCTTTTAAAATAACTTATCAAATGAAAGTCATGTATATATTTCAATATTTTATCAAGAGTCAAACTAATTCTTCAAATAAATAGTGTAGAGTTTATATGTGTCGTGTGTCAGACAGGTTTAGAGTCTGTTTAACAATACCTTCATGTGTTAATATATCAGCACTTAAGTACTGATTTTAAACTCAGAGAAGTCTTTAACTTCTTTTCCACTGTCGTCACTGTTTTAAAACACTTTGTCTTGACACAGCATTAGGTCCGAAAACATTACAGTATTTTTACAAATTAAAAAAAATAGATAAAAAATAGATATATATGTAGATAGATAAAATAGAAATATAATTTAAAAACTCACTATAATACTTGGTATTATTTAATCCTCTCTCATGACTTTTCTGTCTCTAGGTGTCAACTCTTTCCTGATTTATTTGGCTTATAAGGATGTTTTCCAACTTTCTGACTCACAGGTATGCCTGACCACTGAACACTGTCCCTATTTAGCCTGAAAACTTAACACGTGTGATGTGATGTAACACTTCTGTCCCAAGGATTGTGATGTAGACATCTGACATCTGAGATTACAAATGTGTGTGACTTTCTCTCAGATCTACGAAGTGTTTAGTGTGATCAGGGATCTAGGAGCCATCGCCCAGGTTCATGCTGAGAATGGAGACATCATTGCAGAGGTAGGAGAATCACTGACACATATGTATCACTTTGAATTTATTTCCATTTTGGATACTAATGTTTCTGCTTTTCTGCACTAGGAGCAGAAACATATTCTGGGGCTCGGCATCACTGGACCTGAAGGACATGTTCTGAGCCGTCCGGAGGAGGTGAGTAAAACAAACCGTTTATATGCCCTGAAAATGTTTCTGTGTTTTGCTATAAAAAAATGTGTATTTTTTGTGTTAGATTTATGTAATAATTAGGGATGTCTGATACTAACTTTTGCCGATATCCTATATGCCTATGTCGATATTAACCAATACCAATATAGTGAGGTAGAAGTAGATAATATCAGTCGGCCGATATTATTGGACATCCCTAATGATAATATGTACAGAAAATCCATGACAAATAGTCAAAAGCAGGTCAGCTGATGGATGTGATGACTCTGACCTTGGTGGTGCACAGGTGGAGGCTGAAGCTGTCAATCGCTCTGTGACTATTGCAAATCAGACCAACTGTCCTCTCTACATCACTAAGGTGATGAGTAAGAGTGCCGCCGATGTCATCGCTCTCGCCAGGAAAAAAGGTACGAAGAAGTTTGAACATTAAATTGAAAACAAATACCCGATAAAGATGTGTTACACCCTACAAAACAACACCACAAAATGAAGTCTATTTAGATTTTTACAGAGAACAACTTTGTTTTTCTGACCAATAAGCACTTCATGCAGAAGAAAATCCTAATTCACTAATGATTACATTTAATACTTTAGCTCTATGTTTGTCCTGAACCTTTACTTTCTTGTAACGTTTTACAAAGTCTTTCTTCAATTATTGATATAAAGGGCATTGTGTAAAAACTAAAATTATCTTGCAAACCAAACCTTTGATTCCTACATATTCCAAATACAGCATTTTATAACCATTATATCATTATTTCTCTAGTGACTTCAGCCTGTGTGCTATTGTAGGTGCTGTGGTTTATGGAGAGCCAATAACTGCCAGTCTGGGCACAGATGGGACCCATTACTGGAGCAAGAACTGGGCCAAAGCAGCAGCTTTTGTCACTTCTCCACCACTTAGTCCTGATTCCACAACTCCTGATTACCTCAACTCCCTGTTGTCCTGGTAAAGCTTTTATTCTGAAATAAGATAAAATTACCGTATTTTCTGGACTATAAGTCGCTCTGGAGTATAAGTCACATCACACTTAGTGCCCTATAGAGGCTGTCAGTGTGAAAATAACAAACATATAAAATTATGTATTTCAATGTATCGCAATATCTGTTGCACCTGAGTATAAGTCGCAAACCAAGCCAGTGGATGAAAAAAAGTGCAACCGGAAAATACAGTAAATACAGTTATGTATAGCATAAATCTCTAATATTTTTTTTTCCTGTTTTCTCGCTTCTCCAGTGGAGACTTGCAAGTAACAGGCAGTGCTCACTGTACTTTCCAAACTTCCCAGCGTGCTATAGGAAAAGACAACTTCAACCTTATCCCTGAGGGCACCAACGGCACTGAGGAGAGGATGTCCATAGTCTGGGACAAATGTGTGGTGAGATGTTTAACTGTTTAAAATAAATAAATAAATTTGTACTATATTGATCCTACATTTGGGAAATTGTTGTGTTAGCAGCAGATATGCTGTTAACAGGCTAAACCAGCCACTAGGGTACACAAATCAGTGTTTTATAGTGCCGGTCCCAAGCCCGGATAAATGGTGAGGGTTGCGTCAGGAAGGGCATTCGGTGTAAAACCTTTGCCAAATCAAAGAATGCAAATTAAAACGTTTTCCAAACAGGATCGGTCAGGACCCGGGTCAAAAACGACCGCCAACAGTGCTGTTGACCTACAGGACACTGATGGAAATTGGACTACTGTTGGTCAAAGACAGAGAAGAAGAGGAGGGCGTTTGGTTAGGAGAAAAAGAGAAAAGAGGAAGAATAAAAGTGTTGGTCTGAAGTTTGGAACTTTGAATGTAGGTACAATGACAGGAAAAAGTAGAGAACTAACTAGAAGTAGAGAACTAGCTGATGTGATAGAGAGAAGAAGAGTAGACATTTAGTGTGTGCAAGAGACCAGGTCTTCCACCTGGTCTCCTGCACACACAAAATGCAAGGCTAGAAACATTGGAGGAGACTACAAACTATTTTATCATGGTTCAGATGGGAAGAGAAATGGAGTAGGGGTGATCCTAAAGGAAGGATATGTAAGAAATGTGGTAGAGGTGAAACGAGAGTCAGACCGGTTGATGTGTGTGAAGGTAGAAATAGAAGGAGTGATGATAAATGTTGTTAG